ATTGTATCCATCAGAGAGATAGCAGCAACATTAGGAGCAGCCAAATCAACAGTTTGGTACATTCTGAGGAAAGAAGAATGCACTGGTGAACTCAGCAACATAAAAAGGCATGGATGTCCATAGAAGACAATAGTGATGGATGATCACAGGATCCTCTCTATGGTAAAGAAAAAACCATTCACAACATCTAGACAACTGAAGGACACTCTCCAGGAGGTGGGCGAATCATTGTTAAAGTCTACAATCAAGTGAAGACTTCACAAGAGCAAATACACAAGGTGTAAACCATTCATAAGCCTGAAGAATAGAAAAGCCAGATTAGACTTTGCCAAAACACATCTAAAAAAGCCAGACCAGTTCTGGAAAAGCATTCTTTCGGTGGATGAAACTGAGATGAAACTAAGATTAATCTGTACCAGAATGACCGGGAGAAAAAAAAGCGTGGAAAAGGATTGAAACATTTCATGATCCAAAGCACGCAACATCATATGTAAAACATGGCGGACGCAGTGTGATGGCATGGGCATGCGTGACTTCCAGTGGTAATGGGTCACTGGTGTTTATTGATGATGTGACAGAAGACAGCAGCAGCCAGATGAATTCTGCAGTGTTTAGAGATATACTGTCAGCCCAGATTCAGTCAAATGCAGTAAAGTTGATTGGACGGCGCTTTACAGTACAAATGGACAATGGCCCAAAACACACTGCAAAAGCAACTCAGGAGCTTTTAAAGGAAAAGAAGTGGAATATTCTGAAATGGCTGAATCAATCATCTGATATCAACCCAATTGAACATACATTTCACTTGCTGAAGGCAACACTAAAGGCAGAAAGACCCACAAACAACAACTGAAGACAGCTGCAGTTAGAGCCTGGCAAAGCATCAGAAGGGAGAAAACCCAGTCTTTGGTAATGTCCATGGGTTCCAGACTAAAGGCAGTCATTGCCAGTAAAGGATTCTTAACAAAATATTTAAAATTAACATTTTATGTATGATTATATTCATTTGTCCAATTACTTTTGGTCCCTTAAAAAAAGGGGGATTGCTACTCTTAAGAGCTGTAATTCCTAAACCCTTCCTCCAATTTGGATGTACATACCCTCAAATTAAACCTGAGAGTGTGTACTTTCAGCCCATATCCATTATATAACTATAGCTAGAATATGTTTTGGAAAATACCTTGAAAAAACTAAAATTGTGCCTGTTTCCAAATATATATGGACCTAACTGTATGTGATATAGACATAAAATGTGAAAATTGGTATTATTCCTTGTGCAAATAAATCAGTTTATAAAGTCCACATATTATTCTGTGCGTGCTTATCCAACACCATAATTTTCACACATGCTCCTTAATAACTTTGCACAATAAAAGTGCCACCTCTGTGCTCACAGAACTCTCACCTCAAAATACTTTCTCAATGCGTATAAATATAATTCCATCCAGGTTCCACCAACTCGGTCTCTTCTTCCTTCAAACCACTAGGGACTCTCCTTTCCTCTCTCTCCTGAAACCATGACCAGGTGTTGGGGTGCCTTTAAGGCTGTGATAACACGATCCGCCCCGAGCGCCGCCAGCTGACTCCACACATTACCTTTCCTAAATGATCCTAGCTTCTCTCCATACAGTTTGTTATTCCACCCAACATCTTCCTACAGCAACTTTCAATACACTGACACTGGATGCTCTAAGACCCCCCCTTTTATAGCAAAGGGTCTGGCTTATCCAACGGTCGTCTTAAAGGCCCTTTTAACCCTGCTCGTCATGACTTAAAGGCCTTTAAGTGCATTACGTTTTTTTAAAAATTGCCCAATCCCAAAAATTTTGAACTTGCAGAATTCACCATAAACCCATGGTAGCAGTGAACCTGAAATCCCTAATCTCTAATCACCTAAAAGCTTACCTGTAGATACACCAGTAAAGTTGTATTTATATTTCTGAAGCCCAACTATATTGTAAAATGTATTAATTACCTTTGAATTTCAGAGATTTTATTTTTAATCACTTGCAGTTTCCCATACTGACATTCAATGGAAGCAGGTGAATGTCTGTGACCACTATGCTCAGAAGCCCAAGTTGGAAAAGTGAGGTCACTGACACACCTCCTCTCTCATTCACAGTAACATTACAACTGCAGTACATTCAATAGGTGGTACTGAGTGGAAGAGACATTTTTCCCTGAATCCCTCCTCCAGACTAGTGTCTGCATTACCCCTCTTTACCCAAACAGCTTCATAACATCCAATTCTTTAACCAAAATATAAAACCAGTAATAGGTAAAGAAATAACACAAGAATTAAGTTTCTGAAAAAAAAAGGGTTAGTCAATCTGAATTATATGGTGTTTTCTAGATGCTTTTAAATAAACCTGTGTTGAGAAAAATATTTTAAAGTCAGGTTTTTATTGCTGTCTGTGTCCCCATCAGGAAGAATTACTGTACTCTCTAATTGTCCTGATCACCAATGTCTCTGAGAATGAAGGTCAGGGTTTTTAAAGTTAGTCAAAAAGTTTGAGTTACCACCAGAACTAGAAATAGGAAATCTTCCACTGGGAACACTTTTTCAGGTGACTGCTGTCTAAGGCTCAATTAAATGTGCAGCTTGCATCGCCACTCCTCTTCAAAGTGATCATGGAGGATACCTTTTCAGAGGGCATTCAACATGCGTTGAGGAGGAGATATGTCATCTCCTCACCATCTGTTTTTCCATGCGGCTGCAGGGCAGTTGAGATGCGGTTCCGTTCACTTGAATAGGTTGCAATGCCGCATGACTTAAGCAACATGCCATTTAATTTTGCCACAGTTGAGGCGGGAAGTTGGTGGACAATAAAACCATGACTCAATTGTCTGATTTTATTGCCCCCAGGCAGCTCATATGAAGGAGCCCTAAAATTAGACTTCCATCACGCTGAAAAGATAGCAAAAAAAAAAAAAAAAGGACCGCCATTTTAACCTTTCCCTATTCTATCCAAAATTAGGGAAAAGAGGTTTCTTTAGACAAATTTTAAAGTGAACCCAGGGACTGCCTCTACATTGCAAGCGTTAAATACTCAATTACGTTTAGAGGATTAGAAAAAGCAATTTAGCTTACCCAATCTTCCATTCCTCCAGGGTTCCTCTGTGCTTATAAACTGGTTTCTACAGTCTCTTCTCCCCTGTGCTACAGTAGCTGCATGCCCTCTGACATCACCAAGTACAATACATGGCCCATACTGGACATGAGGATCCAGAAAAACAGTACACAAGAAAAAGTGTAGGGGAATAGAGGACAGCACTGGCTGTTAGAAAAATGCAAACAGGGCCGGCGCCAGCCTAAGGCGGCTAAGGCAACCGCCTGAGGGCGGTAAAACCCGAGGGTGGCTACAGATTGGGATTTTTTAACTAATTGCCCTCCATTCCCATGCCTCCTAACAGTCCACACTAGCGTGCTCTCTCCTACCCGTCAAGGCACTAGTTTCCGCTTCCGGATTCAGGCTTGATTATTACAAGAAATCCCAGAACGGTAAATCAATGCCGGGCAGGAGCACACTAGTGTGGGCACTAGTGACAGCTGGCTGCCCTGCGGCTTATTTGGTGTTCCTCACGATATGACTGTATTTTTGCATGCCAGCCGGCATCTATCTCACCAGCTGCCTCTCCTGACACTGACACACTGCAGAATGGAGTCGCCTCTCCCTCCCCAGCTGTGATGATTTCCTGTACACAGACAGGAGGAAAAGGTGGGGAGGAGGGAGGCCACTCTACATGTAGTGCGCTGATCTGAGATCTGTAGTGAGTATAATATACATGACACTTGCAGGGGAGGGGGACGCAGGGAAGGGGGGAAACAAAAATGAATACTAGCAATGATTTGGGGGAGAGGGTAACAAGATACTGTATGTACTAGGGGGTGCTTTGGGAGGGGAAAGGACTTGTGCTAGAGGTGGGGTTGTATATGAAATCTGACCCCCCCCAGTACAAGTCCTCTGCCCTCCCAAAGCACCCCCTAGTACTTACAGTATCCTCTTAACATCCCTGCTCTTTCAAATCAGAGATGCCAGCTGCCACAGAGGGGAAAATCATAGCATCTGGAACCCCCGGGTACCCCAATAGACATAAAGAGCAATTGCCCCAGGTGCCCAAACTTGTACCTCCCTGCCGGGCAAGTTAGTGGAGCCAAGTGCCGGAACTTTTTCGGCACTGGGGGAGGCGAAGGGGTGGCACCAAAATGCACCTTTACCTATATAGAAAAATTCCTTGCACGAGCCCTGAACTCAGAGGATGGGGTAATTAAAACTGCTTTTGTAGACAAGCAATTCATTCTTGCAGTTCAAGGAAGGAAGGATTTTTTACTTTCCCTGTGGATATGATTTATAAGCTATTCACATTTATCACCCACAGGTGATCACTAAAGGTAGCATTTAAAAACCTATATATGGAAAACAAAATAAAAAAATGTGGAAAAGCAAGAAAGTAAGCATGCCAAACGTTTCATTCAAGTAAATGTTGTAAAAAAAAAAATACTAAAATACATTAGTTTTATTTTATCTACCATACAGCTCACAAAACTTAAAAAGTCTGACTATAAAAAATATTCAAGTTTGTATTCTTAACTCAAAAAGTACATTCTATTGCTGTCAGCCTCCTCCAAATCTCCAAGTTTTTTTTTGGCTGCTGTGATATAACTTCCTGTTAGAGACAGTCCAGTGTTTATGGAGTATGGAATATGGGGTCTGTATAGAGCGGTGCACATGACCAGAATTGACGTGCACTGGAAGTGTGAGGGAAAGGGAGTTTCCTGAGCCACAAAGGATGTTACAAGAAGGTAGAAAAAAATAAATAATTTCATTAAAAATAGATTACAGAGCCATTAAATAGTGGATGTGTATGAATTATTTTTTGGAGAATAAGGATATAATTTAGTGTCACTTTAAATATGTCTTTAAATCCTTACAATTATTAAAGGAAAATTAATATGACCACATAAATATTATCGTAAAGTTACTGGCGGCAATACTCACCGGTCAGATACTCCAGGACTGCAGCCATATACACAGGAGCCCCAACTCCAATCCTGTACTTTGGGTGACCTTTCTTTATGTAACGCAGCATTCTTCCCACTGGGAATATGACCCCAGCCTTTGCAGACCTTGAGGTCTTTGTGGTCTTCTTTTTCCCACCTCTGCTCGACATCCTAAGTTATCACACTATAGATGATTCAAAGACAAAAAAAAGTTAGTGCATTCCTAACTGGAAGTATAACACATCCATAAAAAATACTGTAATATGGTAGACAGAAACAGAAGAAATACTGAAAGTCTTAGCTTGATTTAACCCTTCCAAAAACATCTGTTGCTACTACAAACAGGTTCTTTTTGGTTTGAGGAACAACGTACTGTCACTGTGTACTACAGTTGTGATAGATATCAATATGCCTGCCAGTGATTGAAACCTAATTTGTACAAAGTATGCATAAAGCCATTTAATGATATATGCAATAAGGGCATTTGCCACAGGTCTACCAGTAAATGGACCCAGTAAGATACTGGTTAACTCCTGGGTCCTTCACGGCAGTGATACTCAACTCTTCAACCCTGCAGAATATATATTAAAATGGGTAATCAGTCAAGAATACAATTCACTGTAATTTAAACAGACATTATAACAAAAAAGTACACAAAAAAGTTGGAGAGCTGCTCTTCAGTAGGAGAATAACCTCCAAATCATTGGTGTCAGTGAGATAGTTGCCCCCAGTGAAAGAATAACCTTCTAAAGAATTGGCATCAGTGGGACTGTGGCCACCAGTGGGGAAATAGCCTGCAAATCATTGGTGTCAGTGGAGTAGTTGCCCTCAGTGGAAGAATAGCCTACTGAACCATTCACGTCAGTGGGACTCTGTGAGAGAACAGCCAGCAGATTACTCCACTAATGGGTGAACAGCTGGCAAATTATTGTAAGTGGCTTTGTGGCCACTAGTGTTAGAATAGTGCCCCAAATCACTGGTATTGGTGAGATATGTAGCCTCAGCAGAGAATAGTGCCTCAATCCATTGGTGTCAATGGGACTGTGACCCCAGGAAAGAAAAGCTGCTCAGTTCATTTGTGTCAGTGGGAAAGTGGCCCTCAGTAGAGAATAGCCACCCAATTATTGGTGTCCGTGGGACAGTGAACCCCAGGTAAAAAAAAAAAAGTCTTTCAAATCATTGGTGTCATAAGGATAGTGGCTCCCAGGGAAGATTAACCTATTAAACCACTGATGTCCATGGAATGGTGGGCCCCAGAAGAGACTGACACCCAAACAACTGGAGTAAATGGTGGTAATTTACTTACCTTAGGACAGGAGCCAGCACAGCCTGTAGATGAAAACTGTTGATAACACATGATACCTGCCAGTGCCTCTCCCAATTTATGTGTGTCTATCTGTGAGAATGTGTAGCAGCACCAGAACTATTCAGATCTGCAGATCACTCCACCTTTAGAGTCATTTCATTCTTACTTTCATTGATAAAATGTAGTAGTAGTTCTATGGCTTTTTTTAGTGATGCAGCATTCTGAAATCTACCAGAGGATCCCACAGTCTGTCACAAACCTCAGTCTCCCACACTAGATCACAGACCTCAAAACAATCAGTACTGTAAAAACGCAACCAGAAACATGTTTGCAGAAACTAAATCAGTACAACAGCTCTTACTGGGAAGAAGCATTTCCATATATGGAGGTTAAATTTCTTTTCCTCCAGACATAAAGAGTGCCTTCTTGACCGTGAAGATGAATAACTCAACACCAAGTTTACTAATGGACCACCTATGTATTTGAACATTGTGATCATATCCCCCCTAAATTGCCTCTTCTCAAGTAGGTATACTGAATATTCAGTTCAACTAATCTTTCTTCATAGCTAAGCTCCTCTGTGCCTTATCATTTTGGTTGCCCTTCTCTGCACTTTCTCCAGTTCTCTGGATACTGCTGCTATTGCTGTATGTTAGGTGTTTTGTTTAACATGTCCCTGCTGCTTGCTGTGGTTCCTCCCACCAGATGGCATGTTTCAGAGAGAGGCTAATGAGCTCACTAGACGATTGTTAACACAAGGTTATACAAAACAGGCCTAAAAAAAGGACTTCAATCGTGTAACGAATTTGGACAGGCACAGTCTTCTATTTCGTTCTAAATATCAGAAACAGGCTGATAAAGAAGAGGTGTCAGAGTCATTTTCTAATGAACATATCAAAATAAGAAAAATATTACAAAAACACTGGTCAGTCTTGCCAGAAGACCCAACTATTGGTAAATTGGTGGGTAAGAATCCTTCCATTACCTATAGAAGGACAGGATCTCTAAAGGACTCTTTTGTACAATGTGAATATAAAGGAGATCAGAGATGTGATCCATGCAAATATGTTGGCACTTTCCCTTGTGGAGAATGTTCCTTACTTAGCAATCATAAACAATTTATCCTACCGAATGGAGATAAATTTATCTCTAAACATTTTGTAAACTGTCAGACAAAAGGAGTAGTTTATCTTGTGTCTTGTGAATGTGGATCTACAAACATACAAGGTAGGTAGCAAGCAAGCGCATGATTTTTTCAAGCAGCTAGCAGCAAAGGATGAACGCCTACATCCTCAAATGTGACTAAATAAATAAATAATGCAGCGCTTAAATTATAAAAGTGACAATATGTAAAAGTGAAGCGCAGAATGATTGAGCACTGGAGTGACCACAGAATATAAAGTGTTTTGTCAGATGTTGACGAGATAAACAGTGACTGGAATATGTAATGGTGACAATAGTGAATAGTCCCAAACAAATTATTATGGTGATACACTTGTAAATATTGATGAGCAAAAAGTCCAAAGTATTCTGTAAAATATTCGTGCTTGTGACTCCGTGATAAGGGATTGCTGTATGAATGCACTCACCAGAAGCGCAATAAATTTGCGCATAGAATCATATCCAAGAACTCCACAGTGGACATCTGAGCACATGAAAGGAACTCCACTGGTTTACTGGCAGCACACAGGAAAAGACCCCAGGCATCAATCACTGGATCCTCACAGCATACAGGGATAGCTCCACTTGTACCTCTCCACCATGGATATATGTTGCCAAAAGGGATATGTTCCATCTTAAATGAAATGGCTCGCAAACACAAGCCACAATAGGAGTACTGATAGTGTAGTATTTTATTGTAAAAGAAAGGATATCCACGTGGATACAGAGTATTGGCAGCACACTTACAAAGATGGCCGCCGGCCTTCCATGCGGCCTCGGTGGCGTGAGGTCAGTACGGTAAGGCTCCTCACTGACGCGTTTCGTGCGCATGCACGTTGTCAAAGGGATCAACATTTATCTATGGTGGAGAGGTACAAGTGGAGCAACTCCTGTATGCTGTGAGGGTCCAGTGATTGATGTCTGGGGGTATTTTCCTGTGTGCTGTCAGTAAACCAGTGGAGTTCCTTTCCTGTGCCCAGATGTCCACCGTGGAGTTGTTGGATATGATTCTATGCGCAAATTTATTGCGCTTCTGGTGGGTGCATTCATACAGCAATCACTTATCATGGAGTCACGTGCACGGATATTTTACGGAATACTTTGGACTTTTTGCTCATCAATATTTACAAGGGTATGGCCATAATAATTTGTTTGGGACTATTCACTATTGTCACCATTAAATATTCCAGTCACTATTTATCTCATCAACATCTGACGAAACACTTTATGTTCTGTGGTCACTCCAGCACTCCATCATTCTGTGCTTCACTTTTACATATTGTCACTTTTATAATTTAAGAGCTGCATTATTTATTTATTTAATATCTACAAACATGTTCATGCTATGAGAATAAGTAATCTTTATGTACCTTTGGAAAGACACGTTGCTAAATTTCATTAAATACGAAATGCCAAAGTGAATTTTTCAGCTTTAGACAGGATGCATATTCCTGTTAGAGGGGGCGACTGGAACAAGATACTATTACAGCAAGAAATGCGCTGGACTAGGTGCCTTGACGCTACTCACCATCCCGGTTTAAATGAATCTGAAAGCTACAGACCCTTTTTAGAGGGCTTTGCTTCTAGTAAAACTGATTGATACTGTTCTCAAGGCGTTCTCACATTGAATGATCTACTACTCCCTCCCAATTGGGGAATGTTCCCATTCTATTTTGTGCTGCAGGGATTCTCTTGTCAATGTAATTCATTTATTGTATATTCTTTTTGATTAAGTTATGTTTTGCTGTCCAGATTATGTAGCCACTTTTTCAAATGTAATGTGCATGCTTTCCTTGTGAAGGTTGGCTCTTTATTCTCTGGCGGGGAGGTCTTATACTGATGTCCCCATCATGGAAAGGGTCCCCTAAATTTCTGGGGGATCTGCATTTGTAGTCACAGAGAGCAGTGAGGTAAGGTACTCTTTCCCCTGTTTCTGTGCAGTCCGCATTCTTTCCGTGTCGGCTGCAGTCTCCAACATGGCGCCTTGTCCGGTCTCCAGAAATATGTAATTCCAGAGTTGGAATGATCAGGTATGCACTACCTATCAGATATACTTCAATGTGTCAAAACAAAAAATATTTTTTGCTAAAATAAAATGTTGATCTTTTTTAACAAGTGACTTCTTTGTATATGTTTCAAGGTTGCCTTCAAAATCCCACAAAAATGTAAGGTACAAAATTCTCTTTGTAAGTTTCTCTTACTCCTCATAACCATCAGTAAATTTTTAGTTACCTAATAAGGCATTTATAATAAATGCTAACAAACAACAGGATGTGGATTTACATCTTACTTAAAGTGGAACTGCATCTGTGCACCACAAACCAAAAATGCTATTTAATTCAATTTTATTATTTAAAGCAAACTCCCCCATCCATCCATATCTCCATGCTTTATTATGCTGAGAAATCATTCTGAAAGACCCCCTGGCATTTCTAGCCATGGCCAGAGTAAGGGCAGCTGATTCATGTAGCAATTACTTCCTGGAATCTGCCCTTAGCTCAGGCATAGGCTGAGCTGAGAATCATCCCTCCTCTCCTAAAGACTGCTGGGATGAATGGCATAATTCGCCTAAGCATGGAAATCAGGAAGTGACAGAAGAAATATAAAAACAAAAAGTTTAAAGAAAAAGTAAATATGATATAATTTCCTATCCGTTTACTAATGCCTGTAGCATAAGGATTAAAATAGTCAATGCTGATTTAG